ATCAAATGGAGCGGTCCCACCATCACGACGGCGTGGCCGACGGATTCTCCGTCCACGGAATCAGCCACCGGCAGCAGGACAGAGCAATGTACCGCCTCGCAGAAGACCCTGAACTCCGACAACTTCACCACCCAGGCAGACCAGTGCCGTCGCTGCAGCCGCTCCGTCAACCGCCCTCCTCTCGCGTCCAAACTTTGTTTTGGGTACATATACTTTAGTTTTGATTTTTGGGGACGCAATATATGTGGAGTTAATTCCACGGGTGATGGTGCTCCCACCGCATAGACTATCTCTGGACAGAAAAACACGGGGTAGGCGTTATACGAACCCATTTCGGTAGCCGCAGAGCAAGTCGCGCAAACATTACACCAGATAACCCTTTACTTCCATACGGTATTCTAACCGTTCTATATGATGAGCCACCAATACCGAAAGACCGGCCGATTCCCGCCTGCCTTTTTTATTTTCTGGTCAGTCGAACGCGCACCACCGTAGCGGGCTCGGGCTGCAGCACATACACGTCTGTTTTCATTAAATAAATTAGAAGCAGTTTGTTTTTCCGTCGCTCTGCCTGCACGCAAGGGAACTTAGAGCCAAACTCAAAAAAATTACAAAGTCAAGTGAGAAAAGAAATTTCGAGCATTCCTTTCCAACGCATGATACCTGAGCGGTAGGGGTACACAGCGACGCAAACCTGTGAGTGCAGCAAAACCTACACGGACAACGGCTTGGGCGGTGGAGGTACACAGATGAGGCGACTTGTGAATACAGATACGTACCTACACAGCCGGTCAGTTCCAACCCGGGGACCTACGCACAGAGCCGGATTTAATTATTGTATAGAGTTTCAAGTCAACAAGCAATTTCCAGATATGAATGAACCGCCCTGTTTAACCTACACTGCAGGGCTCGCCGAAACACACGCAGTTGGCCATTATTCTCCGACTAGCGGACATTCTTCCCTCCGTATTGCAAAGTCAACAGGAAGGGGGAGGCATTGCGAAGGCTGACAAAGGCATGGGTATATAAATATCTCTCGCAACAGCACCGTCTCTCACAATCCCGGGTCTGCGAATACCAGCCTCCCTTCTCGCTTCTGAAGATCCTGCAGCATCGGGCGGTACTGCTCATCCAGGACGAGGATAAGCCTGACGATCACACAGCCACAGAAACGGGGCGGGGGGATATTGGTCACCGTGAAGGTCGCCCGCCGTAACTGTCATCAAACACGTCGTTTACGATCTCTTGTGGTCTATACCTCACTTAGAATCGATGTGCACTCTCCGTTACGTTTCCACCTATCGGGTTGTTTGTGCCTTGTTTGGAGTCATCGGAACCCTCACCATGACCATTTCACAATCATACAGCAGTTTTGCACCTTACTTTTGGGATCACCAAACCCCCCACCATTTACATTCATCGTAATTCCCGTTTGTACGTGATTTTCGGTTCTACATGCATAGCTCGTGACCACGGATATGTCGCGTCTCCGCCTTGGCAAAGAACGAAAGGGGAGGTTCTGCTGGACAAAATATAAGTAGAACGCTTTCTTGCTCCTTCGAAGAACAAAACGGCATCCACGGGGCTGGTGATAGACGGCCATAATTTAGGGTACACAGAAGTGGCCGATGTCCTAGGTCCGGAACGCGCCGGTATGACACGGGCCAAACAAACGCAGCTAACTACGATCTCTTCACGGTAAGAAGGTACACTCGTTGCCTTGAAAAAAAAAACCTACGGGGGTCATGGGGAACGGACGGCGACGGCGGGTCCCTGAACCTCTCCTTGGGCACCTCCACAAGCACGTACTCCATCTATGCAAGGGCTTGGAGTTTGCAAGATGCGTGTTGAAACAGTCTTGGCCAGCGACCAAAAAATCAAAGGAACTCACTGTGACACTCCCTTGAGCCTGAGGAAGAGCTTGAGGCTGTGCTCCAACACGGTCTCCCCTTGCAGCTCCAGGAATTGCTTCGGCCTTTTTTCGAAGAAAAAGCGGCATTGGAAATCAGGTTGAGTGGGGGGGGGGGGGGGGGGAACGGACGAAATGACACGGGCGGGATTAAGCTTTCCTCTCGTGGAGGGAGGATGCGAGAACGGCGGTACGGTTGCAGCGTCAAGCATCATCACATGGTGCCCAAACACCCATCATCGAAAAACGACATGGGTGCTCAACGCAATGGTGGGTGTGGCTACAACCCGCAAGGCGTGCGGGCGAACGCACGGGAATGTATGTGATCGATTGTTACAAAATGGATTGCACCGCAACAAGGGTTGCTGCAAATGTCCACTAAGGAAGCTCTCTCTCGACGAGATGTTTCCGAAACCACCCGTTTCGGCGTCGACAGCCTCTTGATGGTTGAGGAGCAATCGAACATACCTAAGAATCGATCGAGGGACTGCTTTCTGTGCGTTCAGACACATCGTCGGCTACGGAGAGTAAAATCCGTCGTATATCCCTTCAGACCACAGCAGTGACAGTTTTACCAAGCCACGACGATAATAAAACAGCTTGTGAAGCAACGCAACCCCGTCAGGCGTCGAGACGAATTCGCCTGCAGCCGATGTAAGCCAAACAACGTGTACACCCGGCATGTGCGAAGACAGCGGAAGTCTTGTCGCTACCAACATACGGCATCAACCTTGTGGCGGTTGTGCGTACCGCTTACTCGTGCCCCCCGCCCATTTAAAACCTCACGCTCGGTCATCCCAAACTCCTGGCTTCCGCGTACTTACATGCCTGCCTCCATCCGCTTGCCGACGCCTCCGGCAAGGACAACAGCTGCCACGTTTTCCACCTGCGGGGGGGGCGGGGGGGGGCGGTAGTGATGCAGGTGATTCGGAGCCGATTGTTTCTTGGGCGATGTCCCGGTGCGGGCCAAGCACGGTACGGTGGCAGCGTACCAAAAACGATTCTGCTCTTCAGGGTAGTTGTAGTCGAATCCAGCCTCTGGACGTTTCAGGCACGCCACAACATTCGCAACAGAAAAGGAGAGCCAAGGCCCTGCGCCAATCAATCCCACCAGTCTTCTGGGTAAGTAGTGGTAGTCGACGGAGGCTTTCAGTAGGCTGGTTTCTCTTGCTGACTCACCGTGGGCCCAGCGGCCATCGACAGTCGAGGGGCCGATGCAGGAGCGGCGTCCCTCACACCCCTGGTCCTCGCCTGCAACCGGAGGGAGAAACAGCATCGAACGGAAGAAGGTGGTCGGTCGGTAAGGGTCGACGCACAGCCTGACAGGCGGTGCTGAGTAGTCGGCTTTGGTGGGGGTGACTACGGGTGCTATCCAACCGACCAAGGAACATCATGACGACGTGAGCATGTGCCGACACGCTCGCAGTCCAGATACAACAGTGCCGAAGGCGTGGGGGCGAGTTGGCGAATCGAATCGTATCGACGGCGATAGATCGTGCGCGTCGAAGACGTCTTGTCCTTCCAACACGGCGTCGACAAATTGCGTCGCGATTGGCAACCAGCCCAGCACTGCTGTGTCTTGCGCGCGTGTGGAACAGCCGGCTAGGTTAAGGCGATGAATGCCCGCTGCACACCCTCTTCGACGCGCGGTGGTCATGCTCTCGTAGGGCTCCGGAGGAGCAACCAGCTGATACCCACCGCGGTTACCATGGGACAAAGTTGCAAATGGGATCGTAGCAATGCAACGGGCACGTGGGGCAAACACATGCCGCCGAAATGGGCAATCTAACTGCTGTATCTCGAGATTCACGAGCAGATTTGCTGCCGGAGGACGCGGACTTGATTGTGTAGGCTTTTGGTATATGTTCTTCGCACTTGGTGGCAATGGACAGCTGTTTCCTGTGTCTTGCACAGCATAGATAGCATAGCAGCAGCAGGCTCGGGATTTGAAATTTTCCGACATTTTGCCCACGCGAAGAGGAACGTGGGGACTAGTAAATATCGATATTGGGGGGCAAACCAGTGCCCTGCACCGCCCTGCCCTGCCTCCCCCTCGCTGGGCCTTTCACCGGCCCGAAGGAAGGGGGCATCGCTACCACGGGGGGAGGGTGCAAGACAAAAGGGATGTGACAGCTGATGGAGCGATAACGTTTACGTTTTGTTGAGCGCATGACGAGCCCCTCGCCAGAAAGATAGCACAACAAACAGATAGACACAGAGAGAGCGAGATACCATACATTCCTCGATCCGACGAAGCAACCACTGCAAGTGCTGCTTCACCTTATCCCCCCAGTAGTCGCTACTATCTTACCACACAGCTACAAAAGCGTATGCGGCGCACATGTACGTGCGAGAGGGAGAGCTGAACCAAAAAAAGGCGACGTGCAACATGATACACAAGGCCGACAGGCCACGATTACGCCAGACCTGGAGAGAGCTGCCAACATTTGGCTTGACAAACGCCGAGGCGGGCCAGACAAGGGCGAGCAAGGCCGCGATCGATGTCAGCGATGCTACCATGATGGATGACACGCGCAAGGGTAGTGTGTGTTGGTCGCTGGTCGCTGGTTGGGGGGGGGGGCACAACGAAGAGGGCTTTGCCATCACGCCATACCCCTACTCTGTACCGAAGGAATCGGCGGAGCGTTTCCGGTTCCAGCACCAATATGCTCTGCGCTGCTGCAGCTGGTGCTACATTGCCGACTAGCTGATAGGCAGTGCCGTCAACCAGACCATCTGCGCCCATACTGAAATATCGGTCTCCTCGTCGCCGAAGCGTAGGCAACAACAGCCGTGTGCGCTGGATTCCGAGTAAAGTTAAGTTTCCGAGCGAGAGGATCTGAACCGGGATCAAGAGACCCACGCTGTCTCTCTTGTTGTGTCCTTCTCGTCTTCCAACACAACACGCATACGCAAGGATCAACAGCACATCGATGATGTCTACGAAGATGCGGCCCCTTGTGGGCATGCTCAGCGGTGGGCGTGCAAGCGTGCTGACAGCAAGAGCAGGAGCTGGGCTAAAACCTGGTGGCGCTACTTCAACGATGTTGAACTTGGCGGCAGCAACAAGGGGGATCAAGGTTCTCGGCAACTCGAGAACCGAAAAGCATCTCCTCGATGAGTTCAGGAGCGTGAAGGGACCGCAGTCAGAGGAGGTGAGATTTGTCAAGGTTCGAGCGAGTCGGACCAATGTTAATGTTTCGATCGCTCGTGCAATATTTCGGTGCTTGCTACCGACACGTCGTACATACAAAGTGCTTTGCTGCCTCCGCGGTACTTCCAAGACACAAACCGGCGGTATGCAAAACATGCGCAGCTTGGCGCAGCACCCAACCAACGAACGACAGCAAACCGTAGTTTGTACGCTTCACCAGCACTTAGATTACGTCGGGGATCAGCCATGCCAAATGTCTTCCTTGCGAACGCTGTGCAGTGTACACCATCGCAATTTTTCCTCTCAGAACCGAAACAACCCGCCCTTGTGCATGTTCACGGAAACGCCCCGCTATTGCGTAACATCTGTAGACCGTTGTATGTATCATAGACTACCGCGTACAGCAGGGTGCACTCCGGAAGTACATGTATACTGCTGCTGTGGCCAAGGCTGGCTGGGTTGCCAACTGTGCCGCTCACGTCGCCACCTGGCTTTCCCCTTTGGTATGCATACACGGAGCACAGCAATGATGACTTCAGCAGTTGAGCCCGTAACCCCAACTACGTTGGTACATACGAAGGTCCGCAGCCATGTTTTTGGGTCTGGATCACTCTCATATCGTACCATGGCCTGCGAGCTCTTCGAGTTCAACTTTCGTTGAGCGGTTAGAGGGAAATCCGAGCGGTGGCAGGGAGAGAAAACAGCAATGAACGACGGTAAATAAACGCAACGTCGACGAAAATGCTCATTACATGGGTGGTCGGTCGACACACGAAATTGTCGTGGCGTCAGTCAGAAAAGCACACATGTCAATCAGACAATATTACGCCTAAAGTAGGCAAAGTTGGTGTGAGTTGCTAGTGCGAGTGTTCCTCCCATCATTCTAACGCCAGTCTACAGCAACAGTACACACACCTTTTCGGTGTCCGTTTCGGACTTATCACCCGGAGTCACACCACAGGAGGAAGGTCAAATCCAAAGGCACAGAGAGTTTTCTTGTGTTACACCAACCCGGGGGATAGCCCCGGCCTCAACTAAAGCCCTGTTCCTCTTTGCCAGCGGCTTAGCAAGGGTCGTCCCTCCAACGAGAACTAAATCATAGTGTTCGATGAGCTACAACCAGGATTTAGGATGTAGAATGCCTCTGCTATGTGCGGTCCCGATTTCGGACTCTTCAACCACACAGCGACCGCAAAGTCAGAGCCCACGTGAGTCCGTATGACCGCCGACTTGAGCGCAGCTCTTCCCTCACGCATCCTCCTCGTCATCGTAGTCGATTTGAAGGCGTGGGGTCATGTTATGTGTACTGTGCATAGGTCTAGCCAAAGTCATGTGTTGCTTCCGGAAGCACAAACGCCGACAGCTACTTGAGTCAGTTCCACGGGCACATTTCCCGTGTCGTGTCCTTCGTTTGTCCGCCCATCCCTTCATGCGCGTTTCCTAGTCAGCGTTTCCCCTCGAAACACGAGCAACACAACCAACCGACAGTTGGTGCTGATCCTTTCCATTAACCGAACGATTCAACGAGCGTCTCCCACAAGTACGTACACGCTCAATGCAACGAAGCCAGGCGCATCGTCAATCCGTGTTGAACACTATTAAAAAATCCAGATCTCTTGGAAGAAACGGCCGCTTTTTCGGCCGGGCCGGGGCGAAGGCTTCTTCCGCACGGGAGCAGAGGCCGCCGACATGCTGTACGCCGAGGCGTTACGGTTCGGACCCCACGATCAGATCTTCCTTGACACCGTAAGAGACGTCCTGGACTCCGTCGCTCCCGTCATCGACCGCTGGCCGCAGTACGCTTGGGTGGCCAAGCAGCTTCTGGAAGCGGAGCGGGTGAGCGTGGCAGGGTATTTTATGTTTTTGCTGTACGCTCGGGTGGCCAACCACCCGTGGAAAAAGGCGGGTTCTCCTCCTTTTTTTTTTGCACGCCGAGGGTGCTTGCAGCACTGCCCGCTGGAATAAATCTGAAACGACGTTTTTTTTTCTTCTTGCGCTGGTGTTGTGCCTTGAGGAAAATGTGCCACTACTGCTGTTGTGCCCGAAAAGCTTGCGTTTCTCGCAATGAAAGTTCTGCGCTCCACGTGGTATGCATACGGTACTCCTTGAAATGCGCCCACTGTCCGCACACCACTGCGGGTTAAGTTTTGTTCAGTCTGGAGACAACCAACGGTCTCGTGCATTCCACGCATTCTGTTACAGGTCTTCCTGCAGCGATGTAGCTGTCAATAGCAGCTGCTCCGCGTGTCTGTCTCAACGCAAACATTCTGGTACGCGTTGTGTGGTCTCCTCTGCTGTCTTCCTGACAAAGATCAAACGCATTTCCTGTTCGTTAACTTTAAAAGGCGTTATCCTTCCGGGTGGCCTGGCTGGACGACAAGGGCATCATCCGCGTCAACCGCGGGTATCGCTACCAGTACTCGAGCGCGCTAGGGCCCTTCGTGGTGAGTGCTTCCTTGTTTTTTCTTTCTGACCTGACCAACAGAGGGTGTACCCGTCCTAGTCCGGTCAAACCACGATTCAGATTGCAACGAGCATGGCTAGTGACAACAACGAGGTAAATAGTACATCTCAGCGCTCACCCTCTGCAAACCTGCCGGAACGCGAAACAACCACGCCCTTCTTCGACGCAGGGACCTCTGCACTTTTCGAAGGAGCTTACGGCGGCGGACGTGAAGGCTCACGCCTTCGACCTGGTCCTGAGCAACTCTCTGTCGGGCCTCAAGGTCGGCGCAAGCGTCGGAGGAGCAGATTTCAACGTCCACGACAAGAGCGAAGCAGAGATCCAGAGGTAACGAGGAAGACGTATGCACATTTAGAAGTCATTCTTCCGGAATACGTTTAGAATAGGGGAGGGTGGGCTACATCATGTTATGCATAGAGTTCCAGAGGCCGAGAGGTACGCAAAAAATAGGTGCATATGGTAACGAAGTGCGAATTGAGCACACAAGACTGCGCCAGAGAGGTCACCACTAGCTTGTCGTCTTGCTTTTGGCTCATTGGAAGAGTTTTGGTTATCCTACCTACAAAATAGTCCAAAACAAATTACTGTGGAGAGAAAAACAGAGACAGAGACAGTGCCGCCAGACAGCCATACAAAGAGAGACAGGGCGAGAGAGGGTCGTGTGCACAAACTGTCGATTAGAACCGCCGCAGGAGAACCGTGACGCGGACGTTCTCGCCTTACTCGTTTCAATCAACGAGCTCGAGAAACGTGCGATACCGGGGAGCGAGAGCCTCACTTTCCACGAAAATCGGCACGGAGACAGATGTAGTCTAGAAGCGGACACACCGTCTTGTGAAAACAGGCAACAGGTTTTCTGACCCTGCTACCCGCTAAAAGACCAAGGTAGGATAGTGGTCTTGTGGTGTGGTTGTCCCGCGGGAAGGCACAAGACTCTTGCCCCGAGTCCATCACGGTCGCGGGTAACCATATTCCTGCCGGTCCGGCCCGTGTGCTTTTTCTGTTCCGGGTGGATGGGTTTGGGTTTGTGTGGGTGTCAGGTTCTGCCAGGCTTATATGTCGGCGATGACCAAGCACATCGGGACCGAGGTGGACTGCCCTTCCATGGGCTTGTGCGTCGGCCCCCCCGAGATCGGGTACCTCTACGGGCAGGTGCGAGATATATGTATATATATAGAGAGAGACAGAGACAGAGACAGAGACAGAGACAGAGAGGCAGAGAGAGAGAGACAGAGACAGGCAGACAGGCAGGCAGAGATACATAGAAAAGGGAGAGCGAAAAGATAGAGAGGGAAAAATTGGACCAGATGTTCCCTGGGGGTGCTACCGATCTAGGTCTTTTTAGATTCGATGTATTTCGAAGATCTAGCGGTCGAGCCCGGACGTCCTTCGCTGGTAGACAAGGAGTAATTGAACCAGGCGTCTTAATGGAGTTTTAGCGACCTGAGGAGGGGAGCCCGGATGTCTTTATTGGAATTTGAGAAGGAGAGATCAGAAAATAGGGTAGAGCGGGTGGGTTGGAGAAGGTTGATGATATTAAAGCACATTACATGAGATAGATTGGGGAAACATTTGCGTTGGTGGGGAGGTTGGCGATGTACAGGCACATTGCATGAGATAGATCGGAATATCACGTTTGTAGTTGGAGAGTTTGATGGCATGCATGTACATTGCATGATTTAGACTGGAGACTATTTGCGTATGAACAATGGTGTGAAGTGACAGAATAGACCTTGCCAGGTTGGTGAGGAAGAGATTGCGGGGAGGGAGGGGCCAGAAAAGAGTGGGCACCTGCCTTTGCCGGGCAGACGTTGAAATTCCTTGCTGGTAAGTTTAGGAAACAATCTGGATGTCTGTGAGGGTAGACGACGAGATGGTCTCTCCTCAGGCATTTAAATGAGCAGTCGTGTATCGCTACGGCCAGGGTAAGGACCAGACGTGTTCTACGGGTAAGAAAAATATATGTTTGCACGAACATGTTGACGCCTGTGAGGGGCGACAGGCATCGAAAACTGTATGCGCACAAAGTTGGTGCTTTCGCGCGGAGTGTCGTCACGGAGTCTGGGTACGCCTTGCGGCAGGCTACATGTGGATGCTCTGGATAGTTTGTCGAGGGACTTGAGTATCGTTGGAGGGGGTGCAGAATACGACCCCTCAAGTTGGCATGGGCGGTGGGTCCCAGAGGTGGACATCGGAGTAATTAGGAGGTCAACTCAACTCGGTGCGTTCTAGGCAATACCGAACCCGGCCATGGTCGTACTAATGGACGAGCCCGGACGCCAGCCTATTATCCCCTGCACCCAACAACCCTTCTATGAGCACCACTACTCCCCTGTCTATGCTACCAAAACGTCCACGGGCGGTACAAGCTGCATATGGCCCAGGACACTTCTCAACCTTGCTACTCTAGCCCGACGACTCCCCCCTACGACGCCTCCCCTGTGTCCGCGCGACCAACTCCCCGCATGCAGTACAAGCGCATGAGCCTCGACGCGTCTCCGATCGGAAGGGGCCTCCTGTGGGGCGGCGCTGTGCCCCACCCGGAGTGTGCGGGCTACGGCGTGGTTTACTTCGCGGAGAAGGCGATGCGAGGCCGGGGCGAGTCGCTCATGGGAAAGCGGTGCATCGTTACGGGAAGCGGCAAGGTGATCGATAGGTTCGGAGCGGCGTGGCACGCGCAACCAACTAGTTTCGCTAGCGCGCGTGCGTGTTTTGTCCCATCTATTCTCGGGCCCCTGTCTATGCACAGTATGGCTTGTATGCTTGATGCACCAGCAGGGGTCGCGCAAGAGGAAATTAGTGCTCAATACGTCTTTAAGGTGACGTTCATACGAGGTCCTGTGGAATGTCCGTATTGATCTCTTGGGTCTCGGTTTTCCGGTTTCGTGTTTTCGGATAGCATGCTATTGTGGTTGCCGGTTAGCAGGATATTTTCTGCAAATATGGGTTCGGACTTGTGAATGACGGCTGCGAGGGACCCGATGTGTCGTGTCTGGTGTGCCAGCCGAGTCTTGGTGCAGTGGACACAGCGCGTGTGTGTCTGCGCTGTTGCATGTCCTCTCTGTGGGTCGTCATGCGATGGGCTAACCTTTTTTACACACTGAGCTGTGACGTGGCAAGCATTTGTTGTGTGTGTTGTACATATACGCGACATGTGGTTCAATGTTTCAATGCGCTGAACCACCGTCATGCGCTGAGCCCTTGTGGCGTACCTCTGCGTGACGTGCCGACGACGTGATGGGTTTTCGTCGTGCAATCAAGGTGGCCCTGCATGTCGCGGAGAAACTTCTCGAGCTGGGTGCCACTCCGATGACGTTCACAGACAGCAGTGGACACGTCTTCGAGCCAGAGGTGAGACCTACCTACCGCTGCCGGTGACGTTGTTTTCGTGCTGTCGTGTATTTTCCTGCTGTTGTTTACTGATTCCTTGAAAGACGATGATATCTTTATGACCGCCTTCTGCGCCCCAAGTTTCACAAGGAAACAACCTAAAAATATCACACAAGAGCAAACCGACCAAGGCGACGTAGTCACAGCAACGAAAACACCTTCGCGCCGACGAAAGCCTACCGTATTTGTAGCCGTGACCACGAGTGGGTACTGGTCCTGCTGACTAGTCTAAGGGGTTAGTTTTGTTGATACAACGTCACAGGAACAAGAAAATAGACGGAGCAACACCGCCAGCCGACGCGGCTCCGTTAGGCCCGTGTACGGGACAACATTGTTAAATGCCGAGCCACGGTGACAACCACACGCTGCTTCCTTTTGCTACCCCCGCGTCAGGGTTTCGACGTCGAGAAGTTCAAGAAAATCGCCAAGATTAAGCAGGAGAGAGGAGCACGAGTTGGAAGGTGAGGCCCCCACTCTTATCATCGCTGCTGTGATGGCTGCACACGGGACCCCAAGGGGGCTCGTTTGACGATCTAGAATGGGTGAATTTGGTCCGGAACATATGGAAAGCCCGACGTGATCTGCATGCACTATCTCCTTGAAGTGCACGTCATAGCCATTGTTGTTGGGTTGAGCTGCGGTAGCATTCCCAATCACATGCTCTTTTTCAGCATGATCATCCGGAAGCCGATGGTACTTGCGCCGTCCTCTTGACCCGTGTTGATCGCATTGCTGCTGACACCGGTGTTCACCGCGGGTGGCAGTGCACCCACACGCCGACCCACGATCAATGTTGGCTTCCAATCCAACCCTGAGATTGATCGACCCCATGCCAGGATCAGCCCGGCACCGAAAACGAACTACATACGGTGTATTCCGGTATCACTGCTCGCCAAGAAATATCAAACTCCCATATTGTGTATCCGTACCACCACCTTGCGGTGGCGTTGATCTGGCCAGACCAGCGTCCTTTTCCTTGTTTTTCGTCCGACACTCGTTTCCAGAGTTGTCCCATGACTATTAATAGGTATCATAGTTTTTCCTGAGGTACGCATTTGAACAGGGAAATCAGGCCCACGCTGCTGGTGTCGCACCCACTACCAGCAGCGACAACGGCGTTTTGACTTGTCTTGCCTCGTCTTTTATTGTGTTCTCTTGCCGTCAGGTACATCGTCGCTTCCCCCTCCGCAAAGTACAACGAGCCGCAGTCGGTGTTTGACGCACCGGCAGACGTGGCATTCCTCTGCAGGACCTCCAACGAGCTTACCGAAGTGGAGGCAAATGCGCTGGTCGCGAGCGGCTGCAAGACCGTCGTTGACGGGGGGTACCGGCCCGTGTCGACGGCTGCGGCTGAGGTGTGGACGTATGCTACTGCTGCTGTTGCTATGGTTGTTGTTGTTGTTGTTGGTGGTGGTTCATGTTCGTCCTCTCTCATGGATAAAATACCACATTGAGCCTTAACTTTGTTGTCGTTGTTGTTTCGTTGTCGTCCTCGTCGTCGTCTCCGCTCATAGACGCCAGTTTGAGACCAACGGGTATGCGACTCAGAACAGAATTATCGCACGTGTGCGTTGGAAGGAATTGCAACGGTGATTTCACACAACCGAGAGAATGATCAGCAGCTTTGTACCGCTTGGTTGAAACTGGTGGAAATTGGTGGTCCCCATGTCGGAACACGATGCCACCTCACGCTGGCACGTAACCCCAGTACAAGCCCGCCAAAACACCTACTGCATGCACATTGCGCTGCCCTTACGTGACCCGGTTGTGTTTGGGTATACGTAGAGTTAGGGTTCATTCAGACCAGGGTTCAAAGGTGGACTGGACTTGTCTTGTCTTGCTGTGTGACGAGAGTGTGACGAGAGTCGAAAGGTTGCCTTAGCATGGTGCTTCTGAACATGACGGAATGGGCGTTACCGCAATCGGATACTTGGCAGCGGCGAAATGATGGTGCTTATTCGATGTATTGCGATTTTGACAACAAACCAAGTATTGGACACAAAAAACAACCCAGGGACAGCTCAGGTTTAGGCCGCTCCAAAGTGACTTGGCTCGATTGCTTTAGCGGTCCAGAGCGATTGTTGCCGCGAGATTGTCGAGAAACACGCCTCCGTTCTGGGACACGCGTGAGAAACACCCAGAGACGCTCTTCGACATCCTGGTCAATCCTCTCTTGTCTTACCAAGATCGCATGGCCCTTTCAACCTCGTGTGCTCTCCTGCACAAACCCTCGACGCTTCCTCGAGGAAACGCTCAACTCGGGCCGCTGCCTGCTCTCTCACGCCCCGACTTCGTCGTCCGACTTCGTCTTTTCTTGAACGGTTTCTCAGGTTCTCAAGAAGAACGGGATTTTCCACGTGCCGTACCGCGGGACCATGATTGGCGCCGCCATCAGCGGGGGAAGGGAGTTAGACCGCAACCCTCTTCAGCCCGGAGAGACCATAGACGACAGGCTCGAGAAGAAGGTAGGATCGAGGGCGGTTTTTGCACTACTGTAGAATACTGCTCTGAGTTGGTCCTGTGCCAAGAGTCTCCTATTCGAACATACGATTTAGCTGCATTTCAACCCTTCATTGAAGTCATGCCCCTCCGGGAGCGCACCCTTCCACCGATGACATAGGCGTGCAACACGCTTTGCTTTCTCTCTCTTTTTTTTTTTTTGTTTGCCAATCAGAGCCCTCGCTGTGTTTGAACTTGCTTCTATGTTCACAATCTACTTCTCCGTTACAGCTGTATCCTCTCCTCATCTTCGATTTTGGAGCCGTGGAATAACAACGCCCATGTCGCGTTTTCGATGGAGTCTGCGTGGCATCGATTTTGACTGACGCTTACGTTCCTGCGTGACGATTTACAAGCATCAATGCCGTTGACGTCGTATCGTCTTGGTTGCGTCAGTAGTGTCAATAGCATCGAATGTCCCAATCGCGTCAGTAGTGGCTCGCGTCAGTATTGGCACCTCAGCGAAATCAATACCTGGACACGAAATGTAAATGGTGCAGAATAGCATTTTAGGCACAAAGTCAATACCCCCCCCCCACCTTTCATGCGACTCGCCGAGTACCTCACGGCGCTTCGCGCTTGGTGATGTGAGAGCCTGATCCGGTGAGAACCCGGAGTGCTCCGTCCCGGCTTTGTAGGGATGCGAGGTCAATGGCCTAACGACTACGGCATGCACGACTATGAGTGCACCTTCCCCCCGCGCTCGCCCATTCCCGCCTTTCCCAGATGGACGAGGTCTACGAGGTGGCGTCATCGGTTGCCAGGGAGTTCAACCAACAAGGAAACCTTGACAAGGGGTGCACCATAGCGGGTTTCCTTCGAGTAGGAAGAGCAATGATGGCTCACGGCGCCGTCTAAGCGTACCACCTTCCGAAGGGCACATACATTCTCTCTCCCGCCTGGCCGAACGCGGGCCAGTTTTGCGTGTGTTGTTTAACAGCAGCGTGCTGAAGAGTTTTCCTCCCCTTTTCTTGCTGTACCCCTCCTCACCCATTCCCCTGCACGGGATTGGGATGATACCATACCTTGATATCGGTCGTTCGTCTGTGGTGAAGTGATCTCGAGCCTCGGTTATAGCGCCGTTAGTACATCATGTAGAAAATATGACGCCATCGTTAAAGAACTCCTGAGTTGGAAACATCGGGATTCGAACATAGCGACCGTATGCACAGGTGTTCAGCTAGGGATTCTATCCTAAGATTATATAAAAGCGCGGTTGGTCACCCTGCAAAGAAACGAGCCTCGGCCACAATAAGATGCTTCGGAGTGGGACTTCTGGAATCTGCCATTTTTGGTCAAGCCTTCGTCGTGTTGGGTTTTATTTGTGGCGTTCCCGAAGGTATTTGTTTTAGGGACGTGGTAAACAAACCGGGTCCGGGAGCAGGCGAGCGGCGGTTTTCCCGCCATGTGTAAAGATGTCTGGCACGAGCAAACCAAAACGGTTAGGTGCTACAACGCCGCCCTTGTGTTCCCCGTTTACGTGTCGTGGATGTGGCCATGGGGGGTTGTTCGCCCGACGCAGCGAGTGTTGCGAAACTCCTTGGTTTGTGTTCGTACGCTTGTTTCGCGAGTAGAAGTACACGATGGCGATTAGGTTGCCGTGTGTCCACGGCTGTTTCCCTAATTGTTTTTGTTTTAGTACTTCGAAGAAGATGACGCGATTAAGTCCGAGCACAGACATCTAATGCGGGTTGTTGCTGCTTCTCTTCGGTGGTGGTCCTTGATTATCTCTTTTCTATCCTTTCGCACGCACACCGTGCAGCCAGACTCCAAGAAAGTCGTGGGCAATCGCCGTTAGTTGCACACGATGAGACCCGATATCACGCTGATCAGAACGGCATATGAGTCGGCATAAGGCCGCAATAATGCATGGCGTCGAACGAAATAATACCTGACGACGGCGTGGTCACGATCTATGACGGGGCTACTGTAAGGCCAAATTGCATAAGAAAGCCTACACACCATTAGTGGTTTAAAGTTGCAGAAACATGAGGAAACCTTGAAGAGGTTGAGGGGAGAGAGATCGAAGATGCGGCAACTGAAATCCCTCACTCGCATCTCTCAATACACTAGCAAAAGGAAGGGAGGGGCAAACAAAGTAGCCGGGGACGGCAAAGTCGGCGGATAAAACCGGGAAAAAGGCGGCGCGGGGTGCTAAAAAAGACAAAGGCTATGAATCCATTGCTAATCTATCTCAGACTCTTTTCTATGATAGAGATGGTTTCGTTGTGTCATATTAATAAAAATAAAAATAAAATAATATCCGAGCCGAAAAGACGATGACACGCGAAGGGAAAAACTACAAACGAATCGCATCAACGGACCGACCGGTCGAGTGTTGTTGTTGTTTGTTGTTCTTGTTGTTTTTCTTCACATTAAACTCGTGTCAGTTGCTAATCCCAAAATCTAGCAAAGACTCGGCCCGTGGTCACAAAAATGCTAAAGCCATCATCAGAAGATCTAAAGAACACGCACACTATTAGCAAGAAAAGGGTACACAAGCCCGAGGAGGTACACCTACAATCCCTGCAGCACGTTTGCGTGCTCACAACTGAACTACACGCCCACACACTACAATTCGACTACAGCAGGCGGCATCACCCCCCTTGTCCCGCACTTGTGTGCTCAATGAAGGAAGGGAGGACCTGACGGGCAGGAGGGGCAACTAGGCGCGCGAGCACAGAACATAAAGCACACCAAACGAAAACGTAGCCTGGAACCGCATGTAATAATCGACATGAAAAACCGTCAAGGGTTGATTGACAATCAATCGATGGTTAACCTCATTTAGACTACTCGGTTGTGGGTCGTCCGTGTCGGCAACATCATTCTCCGGCACCTCCGAGGCGAACTTTACAATTCTCTTCAGCCGCAACACGACCGCTCATCCCAGTTCCAACCGAATAAGGTGTCCGCTCTTATTTTGTCAAAGGATCCCACAAACATATTTATGCGCGCTTTGGGGCTCACGTAGAAACAAAACATAAAAAAAAAAAAATGTAACTGACAAACACGGGCGAAATAAGCAGCCTCCGCGGCTTCAGCGACGGCACGGCGGGACTGTCACCTTCGTCCACCGACGACCACCTCGTGGAACTCCAAATCTCCGCCTTTTCCCAAGCCTCTCTTCTCGTCCCTCGTCCCTCCTCCCTCCTGCTGCTCCCTAGCTGGCTGTCTCTCCCTCTTTCTCCGTCTTCCTCTCCCCTTCTCTCTCCCCCCTTCCATGTGGACACCGACGTGGCTTGCTGTGGGCTCCCTTTGCCTGGTGGCAGCTCATGTTGCAGATGCCAAGCTTCATGGCCGGACGGCATGGTTGCCAAGTCTACGCTTGATCTTCAAACACTCCGAAACGGCTTTGACTGGTGGGTGAATAAGAGATGGCCTTCTGTGTGACCGACCAGCGCCTCGCTTCATCACGTGTGTAGCGTCTGATTGGATTAGCTTCAGGCAACACCGTGATTTTTGCTCGCGAGGCTCAGTCTTCGGATCATTCTTCATAGCATAGCACAGCTCTCGGCCTCCTTCACAAATACTCCGTAGTACAGAAGAACGAGCAACATGACGAACATGACAACAGCTGCAAGCATTCTACAACAGTAATAGGCATACCGTGGAGTAGACTATCACCTGCCTTTGTCAGGCAAGGACAATCAGGTTCCATGGAAATAGCGTGCACACAGGCGAAGAGTTGCTCCGACGTTTGTAAAACTCACAAGGCCTGATCCTGATGAATGAGTGCGTTCGTTCAACATGCACGCTCCTCTCCGATGTTGATTATTCTTGCTCTGACCGTCATTTTACGTAGATGAGGAGCGGATGATCCGCACAACACACTTCTCTCCATCAACAGCAGTTTCGCCCTTGTTTATAGCCTACTTCTTGATTCCGTAGACAAGACTACCGTAGAAGTTGTTGTTCAGCCGTTTTAGATAGGGCACTGAGAAAGACGGGAAAGATTTTTCTCGCGGAGTCAATCGATATCTGTCTTCTCCGATGTTGTTGCTCCCGGGTCTTTTGACCCGGCCTGCCCCGCGACCGCAGGGTTTCTATCTGAGATCGCCACCCGGTCCTTCAACCACGACCACGTGGGCATCACCGCGGTTCAACCGCCGCTGTGCACGCCGTCCTCCACGCTAGTTGTTCCCAAAGGCTTCAGAGTCAACGCTCGACGGCAGCTCTTGGGCACTGGGTCAAAGGCGAGAAATTAGTCCTCACATGTATGCCGGACAAGACGTTCTATCCGACGTAATTATATTTCTTTTCGCAAGCAGCAGCTTACCTCTGCCTATTTTATTATTGAACGCAATGGCAGGGAACATGACGAAATCTTTTTGACCGTGAGAGATGCAGCTTGTGGTCCGGTTACACATATCTAAATCGTGTCGTTTTTTAGACTGGGCAGGCGCAGCGGAAACCTACAGGGGAAGGCGCGGCGCAAATACCCCCCCCCCCCCCTCCTAAAACTCATTTAGTTTCGCATATCGTCCTATCTGCCCGCTCCGCCATGTGAAGGTTTATGACAGAGCCGTGCGAGTGGGGCTAAGAGAAAGGGGGATAGTCAACCGTCTTCAATGGGCCAGCATGGAGGTTGCCGAGCAAGGTAATTTCACGTTGGCGCTCGCAGGGCAAGAAAGTAACGTGAACAAGGGATCGAGGCCACGACTTTCACCCGTTTTCTCGTTATCTATCCCTGTTGTGTGGGTGGGGGGGCGCGGTTGCCCTGTGCTTCCGCACCCCTCGTGTTACGTGTTTTACCGAGCCCGGCATGCTTGCAGCAGGCGGGGCGACGAGAGGATCACCAGCAGAAACCCGAGCCAAGAATAACAGTAATAATAAGTGAGAGTGTAGGGCCAACGCTTCCTGACGGGAGCTGAAAAGGGGTCATGTATTGTTTGGTTTTCGTAGACTCTCTGCAAGGTTCGCCAAACAGTAGCCAGACTCTGCTGCGTCAATAGTCATGCTGATGATACACGGCGGTAGCGGTAGTCAAACGTGTGGAGGATGGCTTAGAAGTCATTGCGATGCCAATAGCGTGCGGCCGTTCATGCGGACAAAGTTCGGCATTTGAAACTGTTTAGTGCGTATCTCGCCCTTTTATTGCTCCCCAGTCCCTTGGTGTGGTTGGGTACTGCCACGTTTTTATAGTAACATGTTCGCATGTCTAGTCCAGGCTTGGAACTTAATCCATGTTCCACCGTTGACATCTGCACTACCTTCGCCGCAAATTCGTTTTCTCCAGCTTTACGGGACGGAGAAGTCGACACATTGACCCTCTACATCAAGCTTTTTGTAGCAACAGGCCGACACCAGCAATATCAATACCGTAAGAGTCGGAGAGATGGCACCCCCGTGTTAGCGTTTTTGTACAGCGTATTTCTCCACAACTGTCAAGGACAACCAGGAGGGTGTGAACACCAACCGATACCTCTCCGGAAAGCCCTCGACGAGATGTTTCCAAAACTCCCCTTTTCGGCAGTAGTACCCCCCTGGTTGTGGAGAAATACGCTATACAAAAACTCTAACACGGGGGTGCCATCTCTCCGACTCTTACGGTAATTGCCAGCGTTCACACCCGTTCTTAGTGCAAACCGGACATGACATCCACACACGAACGAGCGCGCGTATGGGACATGGCATAGGGAACGACGTGCTCATTCGGACAGAACCCCCCCTTTTCCTCCTCGCCCACACGTCTTTTCCGCGTCTGTCGTGCACCTACGCACGTCCATGAATTGGGTGCACCTCCAGACTCAAGGCGATGGAAGGAGGGAATGGGTCTGCTGACTGTGGTGAAGTGCTACGGCGTACTGTGGTCTGCCAACCCTTGCCGGCTCGTGTACGCCCACTGGGACAGGGAACTCCCTCGTTCGCTGGTGAGGGGCGATGTTTCATCATCACGCACGTTTCTTTGCAGTGTGGAAGATGTCAGGGGAGGGGGGTCCGTCAAGGTGATACAGGGCAGACTACGAATTGCTTTGGATGGAACCTCCAGTATCTGATTGGGTACCGGCCTGTTTGCATCTACGCGCTGAGCCGATGAACCAAGTGCCGACGTCGAAATGCCAGCCGATCACGTCGTAGTTTGTTTGTTCACGCGTGCTTAAACGCTGGGTTGATACTCGTCTTGAAAAATTACCCTTCTTTTCACGTCTTTGTTTTTGACAGAAGCGCACTCATTTTACAAAACAGCGGTGCGCAAGGATAATTTTCCGCCTTTCTCTGTGAGGATCAGAACACGGCGTAACGCATTGCCGTCCGCTTTTCCCGACACAGGGGAAAGGGAGATTCTCCAGCCTGGGTTTTTCTACCGTCGTAGGCCACCTCATTGAGGGAGAAGAGCGCTTCAGCGTTGAGTTCCGAGAGCAGGACTCAACAGTATGGCTGGATCTGTACTCGGTCTCAAGGGGCTCAAGTGTGTTGGGGAAGGTGCGTTCATCCCGGGTACCCTCTGGGTAGGTATACTGGAGGACAATGGCCCGTGTACGTTCCAATGTTTTTTTCGTCTTTTTCGGTGGGACGACAGATTAGATTTTCGTTCTTACAGTATCGCCGAATATGTTGGGTGCCAAAGAAGCAGCGGTGGAGCGACCGGGAGCTTCGCGGAAAGCGCGGCGGTGCGGTTAAACCACACCCGGAAGTTACCCGTGGAGTGAGTCCCGCACCTACGCGCTTTTGGCCGCACCCAAGGGAGGCGATCTGAAGCAA